TTTCCATGTTTTGATGAACACGTTTAGTTGCTGTTTTTGCGAGGAGCATTTTTCTCTGGATATATAAAAGAGATAAAAGAGTAAACAAATTCGATATTACCAATCATGAAAAAAAATCTCGTATACTTTCAGCACCTATCGGATAAAAAGTTGGAATAATAAAATATACCAATGAGGCTAGGTAAACAATGGACTCGTATGTGTATCTTGGACTGAATGGTAGACAGTGGATATTTGTTCTAGAATATATTACTTTGTTTTTCTTTCTGTACTCCTTAAATACGAGTGCACGATCGTTTCATTCATAAAGAATAAAAGTATTACTTGTTTTTCTTCTCATTCGTTTTTCGACATTCGAGATAATTACAAAGCTTTTTGTATAATATATCATTTTAGATTTTTGCGAACATACAACGATCTTCTATTCATTCAAATAAATTTTCCATCAATCGAATTTCTTTACAAAAAAAAAGAAAGAAAAACAAGATGCCACCAAAAGCAGAATTCAAACCAAAACCCAACTCCAAATCAGAAAAAAATAAACCAAAGGGTGGTCACGCAAAAGAGGAAAAGCGTGCTGCTGAGAAGGCCAAGAAGGAAGCCAAAGCTGGTGGAGGTCCTATTACGCTTGGAGGAAAGAAGTAAACGGTCGATAGGTGAGTGTAATTTGATATAATATATTGAATGCATCTGATTTTTAAGAAACTACTTGCAAATATTATAAAACATTGAAACTCTGTGCTTCAATAAACAATCATAGAATCGAATTTTCTTTTACAACTTCACTAATTAAATTTAATCACTGAATACATAATACAAATTCCACCTGATATGTATCAAAAACATATTGCATAAGCTCCAGAATTTTCACTGATATTTAATGCTTAAATTTGATTATTAGAACAATTGATCACATAAGAGAAATACATTTTTTTTCATCGATAAAAATACCAAAAAAAATGATACTAGAACATTTTTAATGGAAGTGATGATATCTATTGAGAAGATTCTTGGTCATGTTTGTTTATTGAACACGAACCAACATATGCAAATAGCTTCTTGATAAAGAGATCAAGTAGAATGCTATTATAGTTCTCACCTTCAAAAAGTACTATGTCATAGAATCTTAATTGATGAATATTTTGTTTTACATCGTTGTTGTTGACTATAAAATGTCTTTTGCACAATTAACTATTCTTGTCCGACATGTTACTTATTCATTTCTTTTCTGTTATAGACTGATCAATGAACATGAATTTCAATAACACTAATCATGAGCCAACAACAACTGTTCATTAACATCTTTTTTACTCGTCAGAGAAAAACTAATTAGTTTTATTTTTTCATGTTTCACAATAAATAATATTTAAAGCGTTATTAATCATTTATTTGTTCAATGCTTCTTTTTCGTGCATCTCGCTTATCATCATATCGAACGAAAAATCAAAATATTAGAAAGAAATAATATTCACAAAAAAAAAAAAAAAGAAATGATAAATATTAATCTTTGCCTTTGAATATAGTAGAAGATAGTGATTTCGATGTAAACATCGCTTTACTTTTGTTTGTGATAAGTTTTCCAATCACACTCATGTTGCTTTACTTATGTGCTAAATCTCCTAATAGATGTTTCATGCCAATTATATCTTATGTTCAATTGATTCCAACATAAATGGATTTCAAATTCATGATGTGAAATTCACTGTCAAGATTTCATCATGATCCATCAATTAAATAAATGATGTGATAGTAGAATGCTATATTAGTCTAAATAGATGATTTTTATTAAACATCACTTCTTATTTAGGACTTTTGATGATTTATTTTTTCTTTTTTATTCTTACACACTTTAATAGGCGTAAAGGGTACTGAAAATTTTCAGGATCATTTGTGATGGATCTCATATTAACGTAAAAGACGATTATCAAGCTGTCCAACATATATTAGAGAAATGACAGAAAAATTCATTAATTTTCTTGAAATCGGTATTGGTCAACTAGAATAATGCATTAAGAAGAACTCGTAAAACAACATAAGAAATGATCGTATTTTATGTGTAAAATATTTGGGTTAGTATTAGGCATGCACCAAACCTAAACCCAAACCGTTTTGGAGTTTGGGTTTGGGTATTTGGTGTAATTTTCTGTTTCACTTAGCTACATCAACTCACTCAACCACTGGTCTTAAGATATAATGCCATTTATTTTAAGTATTTTCTGTATATTTAGCTATTTATTCCATATAGATAGGAGGAAAAGCCTGTTTCTATGCTTTCCATTGTTAAAAAGTAAAATAAAGTCATTCTCAATCCCGAGAAGACAGCTTGAAAAGTGGATCTTTTTGACTGGTTTGTTCACAACCTGATTGATAGAATATCGATATCACATGTGTCAACTGGAGAAGCAGTTGTTCGATGTTCTGTCATAGTCAAACATTGGTTTTTAAGGGGGAAGGAAAACAGGTAGGAAACATGAATTTGACTCTATTTTTTTGATTGAAGGATGGTCTACAATCAATGAGGATCTTCGCCTTTTCGCAATATCTTTTCTAGTTCTCATAGATCTAGACTTAATATTTTTGGAGTTATGAAACATTTGTTCATTCACGAGACTGCATACATGTAGATGTTACAGGAATAGAAGCAAAAGATGCTGCTCTGGTAGTAATGATAGAAACATTGAATACCAATAACTTTGAAACTCGAAATGCAACTTGTTCATGTTCATGTGTTCTCACATCAAGCTAGATAAACAAATTGTGCTGTATATTTTGTGTGACTGGCATGAATTTTTGAACAAAATAATCAGTGAACGTTTCACGCCAAGTTGTTCCGGCTCCCATCGTTGTTCCATTACAGACCAAAGTCAGCGATGCCCATCTTATAAACTTTAGTAGCCAAGACTATATACTGATCATTTGTCAGTCTTATTAGTCATTTAATCCAAAGTTTATAATCAAATCAGAATAATGAAGTTAGAGAAGATGTGTGGGTTTCACATTCGATCCTTGGAGAAACTGAATTAATAAGCTTCTGTAGAGCTTCGAAAGCGCTATCTTATCAGTATTCTCTAGAATGTTCATAGCGCATCTTAATTACAAAAAAACAAGCATTATTTATTGATTTCAGATAAATATTTTTGGCTCTTTATTTGAAATAAACAACGATTATCTATCACTTATAGTCTGTTCAATGAGTTTTCATAATGCGAAATTTTCAACAAACTACTATAATATGATAGAGCGTTTGAAGCTCTGCAAAAGATAGTGCTATTTGTATATATTTCTCTATATATATATAGGGTGATTCAAAAGTCTTGGTACCTCTCAGAAAAGTTACTGTCTCTCCCTTATTACAAATCCAAAAACGCTCAAACTTTGACATTTAATTTATTGGAACTAGATGAGCATTATCCTAAATTTTCGTATCTCCAGTCTGAATAATAAGGGAGATACATAATTCATATTGTAAAGAAGTTTTTTTTTCCCAGGCTATAAAATTGAAAAATCAACATTTTTACTTTGAAGTAGTATTCACATTGATTGATTTTCTTTCCAAATATAATTACAAAGAATACAGCATTTTGTATTTTCATATTGCTATCGTCGCCTCTATTGATCAGATATCCGAGTTTAGCAACTAGATTATTTCAATTGTCTTAATGTTGAATAAATCGATGTTGAGTACATTTGTGAATCGTGTACTGTCAAAATTTGCTCTTTAGTTGTTTTGCATTTCAGCGACAGATGTTCATTAAACATGATAGAATGAAAGAAAAACGTTGAAAAGTAAAAGTTCGATACGAAAAATGTTAAAAAGAAAGTGTTGACAGAAAAGGCGCGAAATAGAAAAATGTTGGAAAAATTTAATCAACATTAAATGATGGGAAAATCTTCATAAGTTTGTATATAATCAATCAAAACTGAACATAAACTTATAAATATACTATAGAAACATAATTTTTACAATATATCTCCACGTTGATGTCATCATTCTTACATTTCTTCTTTCTATGTTTTTATACAAATGTTTACTATTTTTCAGATTTTATGGCCTGGGAAAAAAAAAACTTCTCCACAATATGAATTGTGTATCTCCCTTATTATTCAGACTAGAGATACGAAAATTTAGAGTAATATTCATCTAGTTCCAATAAATTAAATGGAAAAGTTTGAGCGTTTTTTGATTTGTAATAAGGGAGAAACAGTAACTTTTCTGAGAGGTACTAAGACTTTTGAATTACCCTGTATATATATATGTACAAACATTCGTATTTTACTTATCAATCCTAATTGAATTAATCGTTCATGAATAGATTTTAAATGTTTGAACTCGTAAAATTCATTGTTTTTTTATTGTCGTCGAATAGAATTGTTTTAGGCTTATCATAGAGTACGGTGAACAAGATAATATCGATTTCTAATTTTATTTTATGTTTAGTTTTCGTGCACCTCAATGTCATTAATGGAAACTGTTGCCTATTTTAATGAAAGACTCGATTCCAATAGTTATTGTTTCATATGCTATTTCATATTCACTTGCAAAAAATTATATCAAGCAACTCAATTATGTCGTTGATGCCAATCGAGAATTATCTGCCTATGGACTGTGTAATGTAAGTTATAATTATTGAAAGAGAATTCCTTGATAGACAGTATCATTACACAATTTGTTCTTTTTTTTTTTTTTTTTCATTCTCTCGAATATTTTAAATTTGACTTTAATCGTAGATTTATTATCGAATTTAAAGTCAAATAAATAGTATAACTGAATAATAATCTTATTTCATAGTATACATAATTCTGGTTACTAAACTCGATTTTATGTATCGATCAACTAAAAATGACTAACATGACAGAAAAAACGATGCAGATATAAATAACACTGTTATGAAGATATAATAATAATGATATTTTTTTAAAAAAGGACCAGAGAGCTATTCGATTAGAATATATTATCTTGACTATTTTTCTAAACCGAATGATTGATAGATTGATTGACTGCAGTTTGTAAATATTCATACATATTGTGTGTGTGTGTGTGTTATATATGATCAAGAAAATGTAAGAACATAAATTCTGTTGATTATTTAAAATTGTTTTGATTGTCTTTGTCAATTAGAATGTTAAGAAGTGATGATCGATATGAGTGATCATCATATTGATTGTAAAGTATTGTAATTGATTTCATATGTATAAGATAGAATACAATTGATAAGTTTATTGAAAAATAAAATATATTCTTCATAAATAAGATTTTAATTCAAGTAAAATACTTTAAGAAACATTTTCGAATAAATCATTTGGATAGAATTCCATTGTAACAATGTTTTAATTTCCTCTGATGATTTATCGAATATAACAGTTATATTGATACATTTTCATTGATGATCACATTACTTTTTCTCATAGAATTATTTTGAAATTTATTTTCATATTAAACTTTATGACTGATCGAAAGAAACTATTCTCAGTGATTTTACTTGAACGAAAATGCTGATAATTCTCGCAATAATAATATATTAAACTAGAAATAAAGGTCACTGGCAATTTTCTCGGTAATTCGAACAGTTAAATACAAATGTTCAACAAATAAATTCATCTTTCTAGTTAATTATGAGTGTGAGACTAAATTGAATGGTATCATA